GTCAATAGGTGTTTCAAGCAATGCATGAAACAAGTCAATAAGAAATGAAAATAATAATCCAAATAGAACAACAACATTTGCCGATTCGGCCAACCCAATTTAATCCCCAATGTAAGAGATCATCATGCCCTCGGGTGTAGCTCTGCGAGCCTCGACGAGGATGCCAGAAATCGAAGTGTGTCATGTTGCCCCACCACGCCACAAGCATTGGCGCCTGGACCGTCGGCGGGAACCGAGGACCAGCCCTGCTCAACCTGCCCAATGTTTCCTGCCAAGTCAAGATTGCTTGGGGTCCGCGCGTTGGCTTTCCAAGACCTCAAGATGTTTGTTGCAGATGTTCATGGTGCGGCCGTTCAGCAGGCCGTGGTTCCAGAGCTTGATCATAAGGACCCGCCAGCACCTGTTCATCCAGCATAAGAAATTATAGATCAGGCCATGGGTATGCTGTGTGAGGCATTCACAGCTGCAGCTCTCTAAACCAGTCGTTTACCATCGTAGTCTAGGGTTCTGCACGAGTTCCTGTCCATGCTGATGGGTGAATGCCTCGCAAGCCCAAGGTACATGACCATCAGCTAATATCCTGCAATTAACCTTTTCGGTGTGAGAAATGGAACGTGTGCCTTTGGGATGCAAGCAAACCGAACGTACCACATTTATTAGTTCCACGGGTTCTTTTCTACCATACAAAAAAAGTAATCAAGCAGGATGGAGCACGACTATTAGTTCCAGTGCCTGTTTGCTATGAAGAGAATGCAACAGATATCATAATTCAAACTTTACAAGCGTAAGTATTCATCACTTGGACATCTTGGGGCCTTCTGTGCCATCTATTTTTAGTAAAATTGTGAGAGCGGTGCTCCAAGTCCTTGTTACAGAATTCCAGTGACAGATGGTATAACTAAGTGTCCCATTAATAATATTTAATAATATGAGCTATTACTTGAAAGTTTATGATCATAGAAGTAATACTGCTGCGGCATATATCAGATTCAGCCATTCAGATTGACTTGGCAAAACTAAGCAAAAATTTGGTTCTTCTAAGCTATGTCGATGCCCTTCCAGGAAATTACCTAGTCCTTGTGTTTTTCTCATCACAGCATTTATAGGAACAAAATGATTAAAACATGACTAATGAGTAAAAACTACTAGAATCGGTTCGCCACGGCCCAAGCTGTGTACCACCGAAATAATAAATAGTTGCTGCAACCTGCAAGTCAAATCTCTCCTGTGTACGGTGATAGAACTAAGAAGGAAATGCTGCGGATAGGCCTGACCTCTGTCTCCGCTTAAACGAATTCCACATATGCATGATACGCTTCTCCTCTTCTGCAACATCAGAAAAACCACCAAGCAGCTGCATATGTACTCAGCAAAGTTAAAATAATCAGAATCAAATATTTTATAAAGGAATCAACTGAGCTCAGCTGTATGCGGAAGCATGCAATTGTTCCAAGTTTCTGCATGAGCAGAGCAAGAGGATTACAACATCTTACCGTCCTATCTTCGAAGTCAGCGATGTCATGATCAAGTTCGTCTTCACTGTCATGATCTGAGTAAAGTACATCCAGCTCCATTCTCTAGAAAAATGTAAAGCCACAGTCAAGCTAAATTTCAGTTGCAGGGCATAAAATTGCAATACAAGTGAGTACATTTGTATAAACTGACATCAGCAAGTTTTCATAAAAAGAATATTGGAAAATTTAATATTGTCATGCTTCATCTAGAAACACAGTGCTGGCCATTAAACTGATAGATCTACAAGTCACTAGTAAAAATGTAGTATCAACAAAACACTCGTATGCTTCTCGATGTAAATGATAGAGCCACACCTAATGCACAGTGTGCAGCTACAATGCTCTCACTTAGTCACCATGCTAGCATGGAGAACTTTCTTGGAGGACAATCAAACAATTACTTTGCCTTCTACTTAATACACTTGAATAGAACAAGTAAGGGGAACAATAACTACTACTCCCTCTGTAAACTAATATAAGACGTTTTAGGTCACTAGATCACTTTAGTTTACAGAGGAAATACTTTCCACCGACCTCTGCGAGTGACTGAACTCAATGCTTTATATACCAATGCAGAAATAGAGATGAAATAATAGACACAAAGGTTCAACTATAATTTCCCCATACGCGATATACATACAGTCATAAAATGAAGTGTAAATAAATTGTTTAAATATCCTCCATATGCGCAGGTGTTACACTGCAGACATAAATATGCATGTACGTCCGCTTCAATAGGTACATGCAACCAGAGAAGTGAAAGTCTAATTTAAAACAAGCATCCACAAAAAGATAACTGAGTGTTACATGATTTCATTCACCTGTGCCTTCTGAGAATGGAAGAACTCACGTTTTTTCAGCAGCGCATGACTGTCAGATGATATAAGCACAAACAAACAAGTTAGTTGAACAGCTTCCATCAGAAGATCCCCAAGGAACAATTCAATGGTAACAGGATATCAAGAACATAAGCAGAATACCTGGGGTCATCTAGATCAACCAGGAGCTTCCTTGCCCTATCAGACTGTAGAGCTGTTCGTTCTGGTACATTGATTCCTGAAAATATAGAATACATCAGGAAAATCCGCGAAAATTATGGGCAACATCAGGAACAATATATGCAACTGATTTCAGGCAATATACGAATCAGTTATCCACCAGAATAAGGAAAAGAGAGTAAACATGCGGACAGGGCACCCCGACAATAGGAGTGCCAGAGCACAAGAAAAACAGAAATCCAGGCAATATTGTAGGTTTTCCTCTGCATGCTAGCAGAATTATAATGACAAATCTACAATTAACCAGTTCACCAGAGACCAGACAGTAGCTAGTCAGGAGACTTTGCTAAAAAAAGCTAGTCAGGAGACCATATCGACCACAATCAACACTGAGGTAAAGGTTGACATTGCTGAACCTTCTAGGGTTCCTAGCATGCTGCAGTGCATGAAGTGTTAAGAAAATTGTTTGGAGGTTGGTTTGGGATTAGGATGGGGCGTGGGAGAAGAACTCGCATTTGGGTCTGCAATCTGACAGGATACTAAACAGCAAGATAGGCATTCCAACACAAATATCAGACAACATTTTGAGGGTTGGCAAAACAGGGCTGACGATAGTGGCAAATAAGGGCAAGGTTTTAGAAACGGGTGCACTGAAAGAACAGGCTTAATTGGTGACAAACTGAGGACCCTGACAACATTCGATAGCACATAATTTGTTTTCTCAAGGAACAAACATCAAACATGATAAGAAATGTGAAACATTTCAACCGACTGAATACTGGATAATAGATCAGAGATACTATGGTGTTTCCACTTGGATGTAGTTTGTTCAATATACCAAGAGCCCATTATATGTGAAACGTACCATTTTCCTTTGGGACATAATCCACCACAGACCCGTCCTGGGCATCTTTCGACGATCCTGATTCAGTCGTTTGTGCAGGTGGAGGAACTGTATTTCGTGGTGATCTTGGTTCCACAATATCTTGGTCCACAGGCACAGTCATTCCAGCTGATCCTAATTCCGTGATATGTGGATATACATCCTTCGTCTTATCAGTTGTCGTTTCTGATATTTTACACCTTTTAAACCTTGATGATCTGACGGAACAAAGTTAGGAAAATTGGGCAGAGAATTTAGAATTGTTGAAAGTAATGGAGTATGAGCGCACCGGTAGAAAAATACTCTACTGCCTGGATCATTTCCTGCAACAGTCAGAAGCTGGGAAATAAACAGAGAATTAGCTTTCCCAATTTAAAGCAGTATTTTTTATGAAAATGGAGCTTTAAAGCCAGGAATGTCAAAATTATGCCCAGATCATGTGGGTCAGGATCCTAACCGATCCCAGCTAACTCAAAAGGCAAGGGTGCACCCAAATTGGGCCACTTGGGTGTAGCCTTGACTTTTGGATTCAAAGAAAGCAAAACAAAGCTAGGACCAATATTGAGAGTGTATTACTGTAACATCCATACGAATGTAATACTTGAAACACTAGTAAAGTACTGAATTCAGCGACAATGTTTCCAAATATACCAACATCATTTTGTTTCTGAGTTAATGGATGCCGAGTACATCCAACATCCTTTATCACAACTTACCTCTTCTCTCCTGGTATCAATCTTCAGACTAACATTAACAGCTTGGTACTCTTTAGATACCTGTGTCGATAAGAAAAAAGAGCTAATTATCAAACAGTGCGATTGAAAAGGATTTTGCAATGGAGATTTCAGAGGATAACAAACCCAGAACTCGTAGCGGAATAGGTCATGCGACGAGGTTAAATGGCATTCCAGACCCTAGTATCACAATATGAGATATGGCTCTAGTCAACAAAAAGTAAAAGGATATCGATTTTAACAAAAAGATGAAGTGGAAGTATGGAGAAAGAAAACAAAAGCAGAATTTCCTGAGTAGAAAGATAAACATCACTGTCATGGTGCAAAACAACAAGAAAAATGTTTTCTTTACTCATAAATGTAGCAAGTGAAATTATCTTTAGAACCGTCACTTAGCAGCAACTGGAAACATATGGGTACATGACATAAGCTAAACAAAATGAATCTTGCGGTTTTACCTTGAAGCTTCCACATGGTACCAAGCAAAAAGAGCAAGTAAAGTCTTCTGTAACTGGTAAGAAGGAATAAATGTATCAATAAGAAATAACTTCTAGCAAAAAACAGGCAAAACAGGAAACTACATTCTGGATCTTGACCATGAACAGCAGTCAAAGAAAGTCAGATGCAGCTTGATGTCAGAAAGACGTACAACAAACTAGAGACGACTTCTTGCCAAAAAAAAATATTTTCTGCAACGTATTCCTTTAGCTTCAAAAAGCATACTGCCGCAGCAAAATCACTAAAATTGGTAATGAAATGACGACTTCAACTTCAGCACCATGTGCAAAACAGAAATTTAACAGCATAAACGGTCTAGTAATTTACTTTCTTGTATATCAATACACACAAACATGTACATAATGGATACCAAAGTAAGCTATCTTGTCTTGCAGTTCTTCGAGGATATTATCACATCACAAATATTTTGACACAATACAAACTTAGTAGCATAAATAAAAAAGTTGCCACAATGCTGATACTACTTCAGGTTCTTGAGTTAATGTGGAGTTTGCTATGGCAAAGGTGGTTCTTAAATATTCCATGCAAAATAGGTATTAACACTCATGATACCAAAGTCAGATTGGTTAAGTTTAGACTTAGGATACAGAGTCCTAATTTCTTAGCCTTCGGTTTGAATTGAAGCTCTTTTGAAGCTAAGCAAGAAACCGCAAATAAATTGTTCTTTATTTTCTCTGCCGTTATATCTTCTTAGTTTCTGCTATTCTCCCTCTCTCAGCGCCTGTTTTCATCTCCTGCCGGACTAATTTGTTCCCCAACCAAGCCACAAGTCACAACTAAATATCCTTACCCACATACACAACATGGATACAAAGAAAAGTCACTAGTTTCCATCCAAACAAAGATACAAAATGTGGATATGGGAAAAGCATTAGACATGGGACAGATGCCACTACATGATGCAAACAAGTGGCACTGAAAAGAGACCAAGGCGGAGATAGAGAGAGAGAGAGAACAAACCTTCGCTTTTGTACAAATTTTTGTAGTACTTGTAGTTAAAGAGCACATTGCCTGTTCGTAACCTGTAGAAACAACATTTACAGTGAAATTTGATATATCAAAGTTGAAGTGTATTTGACAAAAAATGGAACTCAACTACTCAAGCAATGTGCAAACATGTGACAACTAGGCCTGGTGTAACCCATGGGTACGCGCAACCAGGTTCCAGGATATGCTGACTTCTCACTTCTGCCTGTGCTCAAGGCTATGTAGTATGTACCCCCCTCCCCTCCCCCCTCCCAAAAAAAAAAGAATCCCGAAGGGCAAATTTGAGGGTGAATAACATATTAATTTGCTGGATAAGAATCCAGTCGACACCCTTGCAATCCCCAGTTCACCACATAAACAGCACACAATAATCCAATCAAGACATGAACACATCCCATCTCCCCTACTTTCCTATTGCATTGCATGGTCTCTGCCTTCTCACTTGTCACCCCTTTCAATTTCCTCGTCAAATCCTATCTTCCTCATCCCCACTTCCATAGTTGCTAAGCCAAGGTGGCGCCAGAAGCCATTTGCCTGATTGACACGCCTAAGGGAAAGTTGATTAGGTGTCACCAACCAGCAACTTGGTAAGACATTACGTCGGCAACATCCTCCATGTGCTGTAAGGCAGCTGTGCTCCCGGACATGTTCCCACCAGAACACAAAATATAAGTTGTGTGTTGAAAGTTTCTGAAGGTTTCTTTACCCAGTCCAAAGAGTTCAACAAATTATCTAGTTGATGTTTCTCAGAATCTGAAACGAAAGGTTCCCAAAATGAGATTCCTTCGAATCTTAGTTTGTTTCAAATGCAGCACAAACTAGAGGAAAATCTTATTAGCTGTGTGTCGGTGTGATTCTTGAGAGCTTGCAATCTACTCAACCTAGTTGATACAGATGTGCTTTTAGGCCAGACCACCTAAGGCAGGACTAGAAGTAGTGAACATGATATGCAATGATTTGTATTTTACTCACAAGAGCAAATAAATCTCATGTTTGATGGATAAAGCAATAAGCGTTAAGAACATGCATTTCTTATAATGGCAGGACTAGAAGTAGGGAACCAAGCTTCATTAATTTTTCAGAAAGGAGCTATGTATGTTGAGTTACTGTTACCTTATGATTTTTGGTAGTAACGACTGTGGGACATCATCATATGAGTAAATATTGTAAGGAGATAAACGCATGTCTCTTGCACCAGCCTCTTGTACATCTATGCTTGCTTTTAGTTTATATGAACCCTGCAACATAAAGAGATCGAGGATCTAAGCAAAGCTACTGGAAGTAACTCACAATTTTCAGCAAACTGAGGTGTTGCTATATTCCAAATAATATTTACCCGGCAAATTTGGAAGCTATAACAATTAGATTACACAAAGAAAAGGAAAAGGAGCTTACTGTAGCATTTGCCTTTAGAGAACAAAATGTCAAACAACTGTCATGCTCAAGAAGTGATGGCTGTGTGCACACCAGAAGAAAAGCTGAGTCAGCAGACAATTTACACAGAAAGTAAAGATGATACTAGAGAAAACTGAGACTGAAAACAAGGAGACATGTTCTTGGTTGACACTGCAATTTGCCACTGACATGTTCTTGGTTGCCAATTTACCACAAGCACCATAGGTCATGTACTGTTCTACAGGCCTATCGCTCCACTTTAGCAAGCATTGAAAATTTTCAATGAAAGAATAGGTATTAATTTGCACCACTCATAAGGGTACAACTGGGAATTTACACCATATGATGAAGCCGGACAGTTTTTTGTGTTAAATAAATATATAAGAAAAGGCAGTCAAATGTTGAAAGTACATGTAGCAATATGCATTATAAATCGCCAAAACTCAAACAGGTGATTTCTTTTCGTGGAGAAACTGTCATATAACAATGGTGGCTCATCTATCCCATAATTATGAATCGAACTGAAGTTCAAATACGCAGAAAAAATGGAATAAAATGTCAGAATATGTAACATGTGCATTAATAACTTTGGAGCATACCTCTATGAAACCTGGGTTCATACTTATTTCTGAAGTTAATTCCACAGTATGCCCCAAACTTAAAGTTACAGAATCCAGAGACGAACCAAGTGAATCAATTGGTATTTTACCCCAGAAACATTGGCCTCCAAGCTCTAATAAAATGTACCAGATGTACAATAGTTAGTCCATCAATAAGACCACAAATGGATTTTTCATTCCTGAGATACAAAACCAGTGATTATGTTTATAATAATTTAAAGGCACAAATTTGAGACTATATTTGCTAACAGTGGAAGCTACAATAAAGAGAAACCCATGAACATGGTGAAAGATGAATTTATATTACCCACAAGAGAGAGGGACTTTGGCATGCATGTCCTTGTCGAAAACTAACCACACATTTTTTAGGATAGTTTATTGCTTTGACCTTAACTAGTCTAAAAAAAGGCGCTCGGTGTACCACCTGCAGCAGGTGGTGGTTTAAAGGGTTTGCTTGTTTGGCATTCATACATGGTGTGTGCTGGATACTGAATATTATTAAGCTTGAGAGTAAAGTAAGGTTGCCCCCTTCCATCTTTTGGATGCAGAGGTTGAGCAATGGCTTCTAGCATCCATTTAGCCAAGATTTTGGTGTTTGAGAAAAACAAATAGATTAACCCCAATATAACAAACTACTACCTCTGTAACTATTTATAAGACGTTTTTAGAGTCTATGACGGTGTCAAAAAATGTCTTATATTAAGTTACAGAGGGAGTCATCACTTACTTTGAGGAGAAGAATACTCCGCATGGTTCTCTGAGCAGTTTTCACTAAGATTTTGCCCACCTTGGCCTTTTTGAAATGAAGAGAAAATTGGAATCAGATTTTGTGGCAGCAAAGAAGCGTTACCCACAAATAATCACATAGGATGCAGACTATACCACGGCTAATAAGGATAATGTCAAGGCTGCGAACTTGGGAGGTTGATAAACTCTTCATATTGGGGATGGTGAATGTGGCTTCAGTGTGGCCACTGTCTCCAGATTCACAGAAGGAAGTCAGGACACAAGCCCGGCTGAACCGATACATTGGAGAATGCTGCAATGTGAAGCTACCAATAAGAAAAAAGACCATCTGATAGACACATAACACTATCTTCCATGAACTTAAAAGGTGCTGTGCTTACCCCTTCACCTGGAGCATCATTACTAGATCTAGCTAACAGAACATGGAGAGGAAAGATACCATGTGCTGGCAATCGAGTATTTGTGCTTCCAGAAATCGATACTGATATCTGAATCCTGCATTTATCAGCACAAACAAACGCAGGTCAGAAATATGAAATAATGCACCCATAGGGTGAGAAATACTTCATTTTAGAATCATTCAATATTTTTACCTCTTTTTTCGTTTTGCTTCTATCTTATACCGAAGGCATCTTTGAAGCGAAGGGGGCTGCAAAACTCAACTGAGTCACTGGTATTTAAAAGTAAAGATGCATAAAAGAACAGTTACAAGTATGGGACAAAATCTTGTTACCTTTTTAATGGCTCTTTGTCGAATAATATTGTACAGCTCAACTGGCTTGCAGTATAATGCTAAACTTTCCTTAGCGGAAAGTTCATCATCTGGAGATAGCTGAGCTCTTGACTTCTGACCACACGTCTGTTCTGTGGACCTGGGGTAACTGAACCCATTGTTCCTACACAAACAACAGATGCATCAAAGAAAAAGAAGAATCCATCTCATATCAAGAACAAGGAAACCATCCACTATCATACAGAACAACTTGACTGGTTCCCATAACTAGCCAGCAGTAATACATGGATCCCCAGTGAATAATCACTAACTGCCAGAGATAGCCATTTACCAGCAAAACTCACATGGAACCCCATATAAACCCAAGGACATCAGACCTGACATGCTTCACAGTACACGGTTATCCCAACATTGAGTAAAACTGAAAGCATCCAGTGGTTTATTAACAGTATACCTCTACAGTGCCAAAAAATCATACGGAATTTGGATTCCAGACCTACCTACCAGATTGTGACAGAACCTTGCAGTTTGCAAAACAGCAACGCAGAGACACTCAAAGCAAAAGAAACATAATATAAGGTAACATAACAGTAAAATTTCAGGAAAGCAGGTAGCGGATTACGCTGCATCATGATTAGGTAAAGCTAGACCAGGCATCCTCGCTGTCAAGCACTTCGACTCCCGCTGGGTCACAGGAGACCACCAAAATCAGCACATACAACAAGTATCTGCACAAAGAACCATATGCACAGATTTTGCATCAGTAAAAAGGCATAGAAAACTACAACTAGGTAACCAAGAACTGGTTTAGATCCTGCAGAAAGATCTGACTAATCATGGCTGGAAGACTGGAAGTAAGATAAAACTGCGACAAATCGAATCGAGGACTTACCAACAAAAGAGGTGTTACCCTGGCTAGATCTATAATGACGGCCAGAGGAGATCAACCGCTCTTTAGTGTTGCTTTTCTATATATTATTTGCCATTTCATAGTTCAGATTATTGTTGGCATCCATTTGTCAACCTATTTTTAGCAATACATAATATGGCCTTATTTGGGCCAAGATGGCCTGGGACACGTTGAATGGGCACAAGATCCTGGGTCGTACCAGCCAACTGAAAGCAGGCCCAAGGAGCCTGAACTGGCCCTCCAGCTTGCCACCAGACTCGAGCTCAGCTCGGCGAAGCACATAAGACACAAAAACAATGTTCACCCCGACAAAAATAGAACGAGGTCGATAAAGCAGGAGCAGCCTCAAGGACAGCTCCGACAAAGCAAGTGGACGCTGTCAAATCTCATTGCCGGCAAGCTTGGTTCCTAATTTACCTTTTGGTTGTGCATAACTTACACACCCTTGAGGTAGATGGCAGCATGCATGCCTCGACACGCGATGGGGAAGAATCTGTTAACACCCAACGCATATACTGCTAACTGATGCGACAATGGGGTCTCCGAATGGAAGGAGAAGAAAAAAGAAAGGCAAGATGTTGCCTCCTAACTGAACATTGTTAGCTGCAGGTTACCTTTTACTGCCTGTGCTACGGCACAGAGCCGGCCGGGTTACCTCTACTTGCTACGTTGCTAGATGGATAGATCTAATCCGCTGGGTTGGCACTGGGACTGGTAAACGAGAGCAAGACCACCAGCACCACCCTCTAGCTGCCGGTGGCACGGCCACGTCCTAGCAAATCTGCGAAAGATCTGCCGGTGACACAAAGATCCCTGGAGGCTGGAGCAGAGCAGTTAAAATGAGTTACTACTTGCTGGCTGCCATGGCAGGTCCTAGGCTTCACCGTCGGCATGGTGCCATGGCTGAGATCCGCCTTCATCGGCGACAGCGCTCCGCTGTGTATCGTCCAGGACTCCCTCAAACTACTTGGGTAAGGATGAATTACATCTCCTGTTCACTTCAGTTTACAGTTAAACACGGCAACTAGGTAACCAAGAACTGGATCAGATCCCGCAGAAAGATCTGACTGCTCATGGCTGGAAGATCTGACTGCTAATGTCAGGAAGTAAAGATCAAACTGCGACAAATCGAATCGAGGACTTACCAACACAAGGGGTGTTACCCTGGCTAGATCTATGGTGGCGGGCAGAGGAGATCAACCACTCTTTTTGTAGGCTCCGGCAGAAGAACGGCGGCGGTGGCGAAGTGGTTGGGATGTGGTGGGATTTGGGGCCTGGCTTGCTTGACTTCTTTCCTGTACCTGGTCAGATCCAAATGGAGCGTGCGACCAAGCCCTGGTACTGAAGGGGATGTGGATCCAGCGGTGCTGCATGTATTTTCAGATGTCCAATTGAGGAAACAAAAATCGAGAAAAAGGTACCAGTATAAAAATGGGGATGCGCTTAATTTTTAGTGCGGACGGATGTACTGATGTGAATGTACTGCAGCCGCGTTCGGTACATACGCATCAAACCAGGGGCGGATGATGGATTGCGATATGGATAGTTTTAAATTGATCTAGTGTTTGCTTTTTTTACTTTTGTATATGTTATTTGTCATTTATCATTCAGATAGTGTTAGCACCTTTTCTATATATGTGTTCTTGTCAGCCACTGTTTTAGCAATATAATATGGCCTTGTTTGGGCCAAGATGGCATCGGGCACGTTGAATGGGCCAAGACCCCAGCCGTACCAGCACACTAAGACCAGGCCGAAGGAGCGTCAACAAAGCCAAGGACACACAAAAATGAAAACAGAATGAGCTCGGTAAAGCAGGAGTAGGATCACCAACAACGCGAGTGTAGGCTGTCAAAACTATCGATTGGGGTATGGATCGAACCGATCCTTGTCGTTGCCCGCAAGCTTGGTTCCAGAATTGCGCTTGGCCAATTCAGAGCTCAAATAACCTACAACTGTAAAAAGGTGCTAGTACGACAGTTGTCACATAGTGATAGTGGTCGCTGCCCCTTGTTAGGATGTGCGACGACAACATAAGCGTTGCATCTCGAGAAGGAGCCAAAGGTTTTGAGTTCCATCCTTGGGACCAAGACAATCGGTCCACATCGCCGGAGGCTCGATTCAGAGGCTCATTCTGAACATTGTGCGGATGCCTCTGTGCTGTGTGCAGCTGGTTTCTTGGATTTCTTGCTTTGGGAGAGCATGGCCGGGCAATTAAGGGGAGGGGATCCCGTAATCCTGCCAAGAATTAATTACTTGCCATCCAACGTATGTATAATAATGGACGTGATGTGGTAACCGTCGACGGCGATGGATATATATCCCCGAATCAAACAAGAAAACAAAAATGGTGACCACATCTCTACTGGATTGGAACTACCAGGGGCGGCCGCGAGGGAGGGAAGGCGCCCAGTGGAGTCCCGGGGAACCGCGAGCTAGCTGCCGGCCCCCGTGGAGGAGAAGGAGATTTCGAGAGAGGGCACGAACCTAGGTCAGCCGGGTCGTCGTCGGCTCGGCTCGGCGCGGCGCGGGATCCCGCTCACAGTCGCCGGTGGCAGCGCGTGGCCGCCGGGAAGGGGCGCGGGGCGCGCGGGAGGAGGGCGCCGGCCGCCGGAGGGAGGAGCGCGTGCGGGGCGGCGGCGCCGCCGGATGAGGAGGGAGCTGGTTTGGTTTCTTGGTGGGAGATTGGCGCTGCGACCTCTCCACCGAGACGAGACGAGCAGAGCAGGTGCACGTGAAATAAATGAGTCCCTTTTTTTTTTACAAGTACCCCGTGAACTAATATAAAAGCATTTAGAACACTAAAAATAGATAGTGATCTAAACACTTTTATATTACTCCTACTGAGGGAGTATAAAAAAACTTATTATGGGCAGCGCTAGGCGTCGGGCGGGTGCCCGGGGAATAAAATCAGCCCTCCTCGACCGACCGTCCGATCCTGTTGAGAGTTATGATTGCGGTGTGGTCGACTGTAGCAGCACAAAGATTACTCGTCACTGGAAGGTATGTTTTCATTAACGAGCGGAGACCGGTCGGTGGAAAGTGAGCACCATCGACGGCTCCAGAGGTGCGACCATCACGGCCGGGGGAGAAGATGGCTTCGCGGCGACTGCTGGAGCCCATCGACTGGGAGGATGGAGTATCATTCCCAACAAAAGAGCAGGAGGCGAGTGTTGCTGCGGGTGTTTCGGACTCACATGTAAATTGCCATTTTCCTGCAATAGAAAACTTATACATGAGGAAATTTAGTTCATGGTGAATATGAAATGTGATGGTGCATGTAGTGACCTATTCACGTGATTTTACCTCTTGCATTCTATATTTGCTCAATGAGTCAACCTTGAATAGTCAAACTCCTGCTTAAGAATAAAATGATGGGGTTTATTCATCTTGCTTGAGTTTACTTTGTCTACATCATGTTATCTTGCTTAAGGCGTTACTTCGTTCTTTATAAATTTAATAATCTAGATGCATGTTGTATAGCGGTCGATGTGTGGAGTAATAGTAGTAGATGCATGCAGGAGTCGGTCTACTTGTCTCGGACGTGATGCATATATGCATGATCATTGCCTTGGATATCATCGTGATTATTCGATTTTTTATCAATTGCCAACAATAATTTGTTAACCCACCATATGCTACCTTTAAGAGAGAACCCTTTAGCGAAAACTATAGTCCCAGGGCCTACATTTTTATCATATATTTAAATCCAAAAATACCTTGCTGCAACTTTATTTGCTTTATTTTATTTTGTGTTTATTTATCTATCTATCACTACGAGATTTGATCCTTGCAATTAACCTCGAGGGATTGACAACCCCTTATTTGTGTTGGTTGCAAGTATTTATTATTTTGTGTGTAGGTACTGCTAACGAGGTGTTGTTTGGTTCTTTTACTGGATTGATAACCTTGGTTCTTAACTGAGGAAAATACTTATCTTTACTGTGCTACATCATCCTCTCCTTTTCGGAGAGATCCCAACGCAGCTCACAAATAGCATGTACCAAGATGTGCGATGATCCGGCGTAGCATAGACATCAAAAAGATAGAGAAGCCATAAAAATAATCCACCTTGTGTCCGTGACACCCCAAATTTTTTAACATGATTTGTTTCTTAAAACTCTGCCAGGAGATTTAATTTTTCATTCTTTTGATTTTCTTTGAACCATTCTTTTCTTTGATATTGTGGAGTTTTTACCCCAATTGAAAACTTTCCAAATATATTGTTGGGCTTGTTTATCTCCCCAAGACCTTTTCTTTTGATAAGTGGAATTATTTCTGAATTTATTTTTCCCTGAACCCTATGTCTTTGAAAATGATTTTTCTTAAGTTTCAGAGCTCAATTTGCACTGCAACCCTTTGATAGATTTATTTAAAATTCCGACCAAAATTTGGGGATGTCATGTGATGTTTTTAAAGAACTTTTATGCAAAAATATCTTCTATTCATTGGAGACTTTGAGCTCTACACCAAACT